AAAAATTCAAAATAGAAAGCAAGAGTAATATCAGAGGGGCTTGGAGACGTGACTGATGAACAAAGAAAATGTTATTTTAGAGCCAGGAATGTCTGCATTGTTCATTCTGGACCTTATTTTGAAATTGTCATATTTTTTAATTTTCGTGAAATTGGCCAAGTTGCAAATTTCTGACTACGTTATTGGGTAGTTGAAATTAGTAAATGGGCAGTTTCTTGTACTCAATCGATAGAAAAAATGGAGTTCTAAAGAAATAGCTATGAGTTTGATCGACTGGAACAATGGAATTAGCCGAAAATATGGGCTCAAAGTGCGTGAAATCGCTGATTTGTAAATAACGCCAAGGTCGCTAACTTCATGAGAGCGTAGTTCCATCAGTTTTCCATCAAATTTCGTGTTTTTGGTGTCATTACAATCGGGAAAAGATTCTCTATCATTTCATAAGAAAATTTTTTTTTTTTTTTTTTTTAAATTTTGCGACACCAGGAGACACTTCAGGACTAGGGGTTGCGACAGTCAAGGGGTTAAAATCTTACATATTGCCGGCAGAGAAAATATGTTGGCAGACACTTTATCTAGAGTCTAACAATATTATTATACATTATAATTATAATTATATATTAGGTTAGGATGTGTTAGGTTACTTGTGGTAACCCCTTCCAAGCTCTTTTCTTTTTTATCCCCTGGTGTGGGGTTTTTTTTTTAGTGAGGGGATGCGGGCTACCGTTCACCCGTGTCTTGGAGCTATGTTAAGCCCGACTGTCCGCTGTCTCGCTCTGAGTTTAGGGTTTGGCTATTTGTCACGAGAAAAGTTGAGCTCTATCTAAGAGTTGGATGGTTGAGAGGAAAGGAGGTCCCATTATTTTGTGCCATGGAGGCACGGTTACCACTGGGAGGTGGGAGCCAAATCCTGAGTCCTCTCGGGGTGGGGTCGTGGCATGAAAAGAGTACAAAACCTTTATTTGGCGCATGTATACACCCTCATTTACAGGTTATCTCCCCCAACCATCGAAATGGGGCCCTGTCGTTCAACCAGTACCCAGGTTCCAGCCAATGAGAAGATGGTTTTGGCAATCGCAGAGGTTATGTGGGTACCACTCTCCTGTCTGCCCTTGTCATTCCCATTCTAGAGCTGGTTGAAGCACAGTCTGCTCTCTAGTGGCTTCTATTCTGACAAAACCTACTATATTATGTTTGGTAGCAGAGCAGGTGTTGCGCAACTTAACATTAAGATCGACAACACTCTAATTGCCAGACATAATGAGGGCAAATTCCTTGGCCTATACCTCGACAACAACCTAAATTTCAGCACCCATATCCAACACATAACAAAAATAGTATCCAAAATGGTGGGGATCTTCTCCAAGATACGATACTACGTGCCGCAAACTGCCCTTCTCACACTATACCATTCACTTATATATCCATACCTCACCTATGCTATCTGTGCTTGGGGTTCAACTGCAGCAACACACCTAAAGCCAATAATAACCCAACAAAAAGCCGCAGTAAGAATAATCACTAAATCCCATCCCTGGCAACACACCCCACCACTCTTCATAGATCTAAACTTACTCCCTGTTCAGAACATCCACACTTACTACTGTGCAATCTATATCTACAGGACTTTAAATTCCAATATTAACCTTAACCTAAAATGCTTTCTTGATAGTTGTGACAGGATCCACAGGCATAACACCAGACACAAACATCTCTATGACATTCCCCGTGTCTGACTAAACCTTTACAAAAATTCATTGTATTTCAAAGGACCTAAAATCTGGAACACCCTACCTGAAAACTCTAGAACTGCAGACACAGTCATCACTTTCAAAACTACAGTTAGAAAACATCTTATCTCCCTGATTCACCCTGACAACTAACTACATGATAACCACCTGGTGGTTCACAATTACACTCACTCACCCACTGACTACAAACACAGAAATACTAATCTTAATCTTAAAATAATGAATCCTAACTAGTCATAAGTTTGCCTATGATACTCCAATATAGACACTTTGTATTGTGCTAAAACAAAAACATTCACATTGCTAAACTCACAAATTATAATGTAGTTACCTAGCCTTAATACCATAATCTGTAAGGATTTAATGTTAAAAATTAATCTAAGTCTGCCCGAAATGCCTAGCCATGCTAGGTGTCCTAGTGGCCCCCTCTGTATTTAGTATTTTATAACATGTAAACCACACAATATCCAAATCCTGTAAACCCCACATTGTAACCCTTATAGAGAATAAACTTGAATTGAATTGAATTGAATTGCTTACCGTGGAGTGCACGAATACCTATTGTTGTATATAGTGTACATACTTCTGTTCTAACAATCATCACTGTTAGTGACCAGACTAACAATCATCACTGTTAGTGACCAACCTAACAATCATCAGTGTTGTTAGTAACCAGACTAACAATCATCAGTGTTGTTAGTGAACAGCCAAACAATCATTTGTATTGTTAGTGACCAGACTAACAATTTTCAGTGTTGCTAGTAACCAGACTAACAATCATCAGTGTTGTTAGTAACCAGACTAACACTCATCAGTGTTGTTAGTGAACAGCCAAACAATCATTTGTATTGTTAGTGACCAGACTAACAATTTTCAGTGTTGCTAGTGACCAGACTAACAATCATCAATGTTGCTAGTGACCAGACTAACAATCATTCTTAGTGAGCAAACTAATAATCATCATTGTTAGTGACCAGACTAACAATCATCAGTGTTGTTAGCAACAAGACTAACAATCATCAGTGCTGTTAGTAAACAGACTAACAATCATCATTGTTAGTGACCAGGCTAACAATCATTATTAGTAACCAGACTAACAATCATCAGTGTTGTTAGTAACCAGACTGACAACCATTAGTGTTAGTGACAAGACAAATAATCATCACTGTTGTTAGTGATCAGACTAACAATCATTCTTAATGAGCAAACTAATAATCATCATTGTTAGTGACCAAAATATGAATTATCAGTGTTGTTAGTGACCTGCCTCTCAATCATCAGTGTTGTTAGTGACCAGACTAACAAGCATCATTGTTAGTGACCAGACTAAAAATCATCACTGTTAGTGACCAGACTAACAATCACTGTTAGTGACCAGACTAACAATCCTTGTTAGTGACCAGACTAACAATCCTTGTTAGTGACCAGACTAACAATCGTCACTGTTAGTGACCAGACTAACAATCATCATTGTTAGTGACCAGACTAAAAATCATCATTGTTGTGACCAGACTAACAATCATCAGTGTTGTTAGTGACCAACCTGACAATTATCAGTGTTGTTAGTGACCAGACTAACAATCATCAGTGTTGTTAGTTGCCAGACAAACAATTATCAGTGTTGTTACTGGTCAGAGAAACATAATCTATGTTGTTAGCGACCAGACTAACAATCATTCTTAGTGAGCAAACTAATAATCATTGTTAGTGACCAGTCTAACAGTCATCATCGTTAGTGACCAGACTAACAATCATCATTGTTGTTAGTAACCAACCTAACAATTATCAGTGTTGTTAGTGACCAGACTAACAATCATCTGTGTTGTTAGTTACCAGACTAACAATTATCAGTGTTGTTACTGACCAGACAAACATAATCTATGTTGTTAGTGACCAGACTAATAATCATTCTTAGTGAGCAAACTAATAATCACTGTTAGTGACCAGTCTAACAGTCATCGTCGTTAGTGACCAGTCTAACAATCATCAGTGTTGTTAGTAACCAGACTAACAATCACCAATGTTAGTGACCAGACTAACAATCATTATTATAAACCTGACTAACAATCATAATTGTTGTTAGTATCCAGACTAACAATCATTATTGTTAGTAACTTGGAGTTTACCTGGAGAGTTCCGGGGGTCAACGCCCCCCGCGGCCCAGTCTGTGACCAGGCCTCCTGGTGGATCAGAGCATGATCAACCAGGCTGTTACTGCTGGCTGCACACAATCCAACGTACGAGCCACAGCCCGGCTGGTCAGGTACCGACTTTAGGTGCTTGTCCAGTGCCTGCTTGAAGACAGCCAGGGGTCTATTGGTAATCCCCCTTATGTATGCTGGGAGGCTAACAATCATCATTGTTAATGATCAGACTAACAATCATCATTGTTGTTAGTGACCAGACTAATAACCAGACTAATAATAGTCTCATAACCAGACTAGCAATCATCATTGCTAGTGATCAGACTAGCAATCATCATTGTTAGTGACCAGACTTATAATCATCATTGTTGTTGGTGACCAGACTAATAATTATCATTGTTAGTGATCAGACAAGCAATCATAAGTTCTGTTAGTGGCCAGTAAGTAAGTAAGTGACCAGACTAACAATTATCAGTGTTGTTAGTGTAAGTTTATTCAGGTATACACAAATAGTTACATAGATTATCATACATAGCAGAATATGTGTAGAGAACCTGGGATAACCCAAAAAAGTCAAAGTGACTTATTTCCAGTGTGGTCCTTGCGATAAGTATTATTTATATTTACAAGTTAGAAACAGTTGTCTTAACTATGTAGCAGCAGTTCTAATAGAAGGAGATATACTAGGAAAGGTAAAATTAGTTATTTTCATTGACAATAAAGATAGGATCAGATTATAGTATATATATGTTAGATATACAAGAAATAACTCTCCTTCCTTTCTGTAGCCTCATATATCAGGTTCATTTTGAGTTTCTTCTTGAACTTGCTATAACATTTACTGGCTCTCTGTTCCACTTTTTTATTCATGTACAATAAAACGTACTTAAAGCCTGACTAATGACTTTATTGTTATCAATAAAACTTGAACATAAATTATCATATAATAATGTTCTAGGTTAATTATGTTTCATTTTCTTGTGCAATTATTAATTTTTAAAATGTAGGTTAATAATACAATGTTGAGAAACTATTACTTTCCTTCCTTGCCTCACCTTTATTATATTATCCCAACATATATTAATACACCAGTCTTCCTACTTACCTCGTAAATCAATTTTCCACTGATAGTTGCTCCACAACTATATTAAATGACCACAATTGACAAAAATGTACAATAATTCCCCCTGATGCCGCCACTATTGTTGTTGTTGTGTGTTTTGAGGCTACCACAGAGTACGCCTTTTTGAACCTTACTACTCTCTCCCCGGAAGTCCAAGACAGTATTGAACCTTACTTCTCTCTCCCTGGAAGTGAAAGACAACATATTTTATTGAACCTTACTACTCTCTCCCTGGGAGTCCAAGACAATATATTGTACTGAACCTTACTGCACTCTCCCCGGGAGTTCAATACAATATACTGTATTGAACCTTACTACTGTCACCCTGGGAGTCCAAGACAATATGTTGTGTTAAATTAGACACAAGTGCAACTCTTGGGTATCTTTATTGAGGAAACGTTTCGCCACACAGTGGCTTCATCAGTCCATACATAGGAGAAACTTGAAGAACAGGAGGAGAATGAGGTAATCAGTTCCTCAACCTTGAGTCGATGTGGTCAGTCCATCAATCTTGAATAGAATACGGCATATAAGCGGAGAAGCAGCTTATAAACCGTATGGCAGGAGAGGTGCAGCAGTCGTAGGTGGTGTCACATTTGTCCAATGTGGAAGTAGGTCGTGCCCAAGGGTTAGGCAAGAGAAGAATTCCCAAGTATTAAGATCCCAAGAAGTTGCAGTGTCTGACAGGATTGTAGATGAATGGTTCATAGAACCGACATGTTGTTAAATTAGACACATGTGCAACTCTTGGGTATCTTTATTGAGGAAACGTTTCGCCACACAGTGGCTTCATCAATAAAGATACCCAAGAGCTGCACATGTGTCTAATTTAACAACATGTCGGTTCTCTGAACCATTCATCTACAATCCCAATCCTGTCAGACACCGCAACTTCTTGGGATCTTAATACTTGGGAATTCTTCGCTTGCCTAACCCTTGGGCACGACCTACTTCCACATTGGACAAATGTGACACCACCTACGACTGCTGCACCTCTCCTGTCTACGGTTTATAAGCTGCTTCTCCGCTCATATGCTGTATTCTATTCAAGATTGATGGACTGACCACTTCGACTCAAGGTTGAGGAACTGATTACCTCATTCTCCTCCTGTTCTTCAAGTTTCTCCTATGTATGGACTGATGAAGCCACTGTGTGGCGAAACGTTTCCTCAATAAAGATACCCAAGAGTTGCACATGTGTCTAATTTAACAACATGTCGGTTCTATGAACCATTCATCTACAATATATTGCATTGATCCTTACTACTCTCTTCCCGAGAGTCCAATACAATACACTGTTGTGCAAGAATGGTATACAATACCGACAAGATGAAAATATAGACACATGTACAAACATCTGGGTATCTTTATTGTAAAGTAAAAGGACACAAGTGCAACTAATGTGACATTTATTGTAGCAACGTTTCGCTCTCCAGGAGCTTTATCAAGCCATTACAAACAATACATGGACACAGAGGGTATATAAAGGCTCAGAGTGAGGTGAATACTAGTGAGGTACCATTTCGATGTTCACTAGTGGTAGTAGTAGTAGTAGTAGTGGTAGTGACAAAAGCAATTAATTCGTACATGAGTAAAAGGATATAAAAGCTATTACTTGGGTAACATAAAAATAGGTTGGACAAATATAAACTGGAATGAGGCAGGTTGTTTCAGTGTTCACTCTCTGTGCTTTGTGTAGTATAACAGGAGAGACTATGTGATGGCAGGGTTTACTGTTTTCAGGAGGATTCTTGCTAAGACTTCGGAGATGGTGAAGCTGCCGTTGTTTTGTTTAATTGTATTCGAAACAGCGATCAGTGCTGATTCAAGGCACTTGCGTGTGCGGAAATTAGTTTCTTTTATCACTAATTGGGCGTCTCTGAATTTCATAAGATGATTGGTGGAATTTCGGTGTTGTACACAGGCGTTGTTTAAGTTGTCGTTCCTACATGCGTATATGTGTTCATTGAGGCGGGTGTCGAGGTTTCTTGCTGTTTCACCTACGTAGATCTTGTCACAGCCTCCACAGGGTATACCTGGAGTTTACCTGGAGAGAGTTCCGGGGGTCAACGCCCCCGCGGCCCGGTCTGAGACCAGGCCTCCTGGTGGATCACAGCCTGATCAACCAGGCTGTTGCTGCTGGCTGCACGCAAACCAACATACGAGCTACAGCCCGGCTGATCCGGAACTGACTTTAGGTGCTTGTCCAGTGCCAGCTTGAAGACTGCCAGGGGTCTGTTGGTAATCCCCCTTATGTGTGCTGGGAGGCAGTTGAACAGTCTCGGGCCCCTGACACTTATTGTATGGTCTCTTAACGTGCTAGTGACACCCCTGCTTTTCATTGGGGGGATGGTGCATCGTCTGCCAAGTCTTTTGCTTTCGTAATGAGTGATTTTCGTGTGCAAGTTCGGTACTAGTCCCTCTAGGATTTTCCAGGTGTATATAATCATGTATCTCTCCCTCCTGCGTTCCAGGGAATACAGGTTTAGGAACCTCAAGCGCTCCCAATAATTGAGGTGTTTTATCTCCGTTATGCGTGCCGTGAAAGTTCTCTGTACATTTTCTAGGTCGGCAATTTCACCTGCCTTGAAAGGTGCTGTTAGTGTGCAGCAATATTCCAGCCTAGATAGAACAAGTGACCTGAAGAGTGTCATCATGGGCTTGGCCTCCCTAGTTTTGAAGGTTCTCATTATCCATCCTGTCATTTTTCTAGCAGATGCGATTGATACAATGTTATGGTCCTTGAAGGTGAGATCCTCCGACATGATCACTCCCAGGTCTTTGACGTTGGTGTTTCGCTCTATTTTGTGGCCAGAATTTGTTTTGTACTCTGATGACGATTTAATTTCCTCATGTTTACCATATCTGAGTAATTGAAATTTCTCATCGTTGAACTTCATATTGTTTTCTGCAGCCCACTGAAAGATTTGGTTGATGTCTGCCTGGAGCTTTGCAGTGTCTGCAATGGAAGACACTGTCATGCAGATTCGGGTGTCATCTGCAAAGGAAGACACGGTGCTGTGGCTGACATCCTTGTCTATGTCGGATATAAGGATGAGGAACAAGATGGGAGCGAGTACTGTGCCTTGTGGAACAGAGCTTTTCACCGTAGCTGCCTCGGACTTTACTCTGTTGACGACTACTCTCTGTGTTCTGTTAGTGAGGAAATTATAGATCCATCGACCGACTTTTCCTGTTATTCCTTTAGCACGCATTTGTGTCGCTATTACGCCATGGTCACACTTGTCGAAGGCTTTTGCAAAGTCTGTATATATTACATCTGCATTCTTTTTGTCTTCTAGTGCATTTAGGACCTTGTCGTAGTGGTCCAATAGTTGAGACAGACAGGAGCGACCTGTTCTAAACCCATGTTGCCCTGGGTTGTGTAACTGATGGGTTTCTAGATGCGTGGTGATCTTGCTTCTTAGGACCCTTTCAAAGATTTTTATGATATGGGATGTAGTGCTATTGGTCTGTAGTTCTTTGCTGTTGCTTTACTGCCCCCTTTGTGGAGTGGGGCTATGTCTGTTGTTTTTAGTAACTGTGGGACGACCCCCGTGTCCATGCTCCCTCTCCATAGGATGGAAAAGGCTCGTGATAGGGGCTTCTTGCAGTTCTTGATGAACACAGAGTTCCATGAGTCTGGCCCTGGGGCAGAGTGCATGGGCATGTCATTTATCGCCTGTTCGAAGTCATTTGGCGTCAGGATAACATCGGATAGGCTTGTGTTAATCAAATTTTGTGGCTCTCTCTAAAAAAATTCATTTTGAGACTTCGACTCTCAGTTGTTAGCGGCTTGCTAAAAACTGGAGTCATATTGGGACTTGAGTAGCTCACTCATTTCCTTGCTGTCATCTGTGATTGACCCACTCTTGTTATGTTGGGGCCAAATATGGACGTTGTTCTCGATTTGATTTGGCATCTTTCTGGCATAGTGGAAGAAATATTTTGGTTTCTTTCGAGTTCATTTATGGCTTTTAGTTCTTTCCGCGATCTGACTCCTATATGGATTATTTAGCTTAAGTTCGTTGCTTGTATTTCTACTGTCCAGGGTCTCCACTGACGCTATTTCAGATATATTGACTCTTTTAGCCGCTCTGTTATTCACTTTTTCCGTCGCCGGTAATAGGGAGCGCCTGTCTCTTTTATTTTACATTCTAACTCCTCCTTTTTCTTAGAGGAATAAAGCCTTGGCTTACATCGAGTTTGCCACCGAGTTTAATCTGTTCTAGGCATAAGTTTGGGTCTGTGTTGCTTAGTCTATCTTCCAGCTTATATCGGTTAGGATTGGTTTACTTGGTTCCACTGTTATGTTTTGTTATTGAAGTTGAATTGGTGAATGATCCCTCGTGACTAGTCTCATTTTGTCGTCTGGGGCTCCACGCATACATGTCTGAACCTCAATTATCCGTTGTGATCTGAGTTATATTGTTTTTGTCTGGTGACATTCTTATCAGATCATCATTGTTAGTGAATATGAGGTCTAGTGTATTCATCCAGTCTAGTAGGCTCTATTATTTGCTGGTTTAAATTGAATTTTGTGCAGAGATTTAAATGTTGCAGAGATTAAAAGCTCGTGTGCGTGTGGTTTTCAATCAGAGCCTTGCCTCTGGTGTTATTTCTGACACAAATATTTATTTGCTATATTCCTACATTTTAGGTGGCCTTAAGTTGATATCCCCCAGGAGCAAGATGTTGGGTGAGGAGCTGGAAGGTTTTCCAGACAGTGGTCAATTTTTAACTGCTGTTCCTGGAAATTGCTGGGAAAGTTGCATCGGTGAGCTTGTAAGACACTACAACACAATGACTAGGTTTTGTCTCGAACCCTTTACTGCTAAATCTTCCACTACGTCATTTGAGGCATTAAGCAGTTCTGTGCAAACAAGGGACTCTGCAATGTACTGGCAAACCCCACCCCTTTTGCATGGTTCACTCTGTCACATCTGTATAGGTGTAACTGGGGGATCCATATTTCGTTGTCCAAGTGGATCCTTTATGTGGGTCTCAGTGAAGGCGATACCATTGCCTTTGCCTCTTGCAAAGCAGTCAAGGATGAAAGGTATTTTTGTTGTTTGTTGCTGGCTTTAGATAGACCCTGTATATTTGCAAAGAAGAATG